GCTCAAATTTGTCACCACAGCCACTTAGCAATGCATTCGTCTATTAAAATGTTCTTTTCATTACTTCTCTGGTCATTTGCTCATCAAAAAGGATGTTTAATTATTGAAGTCTGGATTTAAAGTATATATAATTGGATTTACCATACTCTTTGGATCATAAGGTTATTAATTTCTGTGTGTGTCACTTTTGAATGTTCCTATATCTAATACTAGAATAAGATCTATATGTTTTTTCTCTTCCCTAAATTTTACATTTGACATTTTCTTACATTTAAAAAATGGAACTGAAAATCAGCTATATATGTACATCTAAACAATTTTATTTCCACTTTGAATTTTATAAGGAGAGTAATAATTGATTGGACTTTTTTGGGGGGTGGTTGAGACAGGGTCTCACTATGTAGCTGAGACTGAACTGGAATTCACTATGTAGCCCAGGCTGGTCTCGAACTCACAGCAATCCTCCTGTCTCAGCCTCCCAAGTGCTGGGATTACAGGTGTGCACCACCATGCCTGGATGATTTGCCTTTGTAAACTCAGCATTATTGAGATTTACTCATAGATATGTCATTCATTGAGTTTCATGTTCTGTCCTATTATGTGTATTATGCATTCTGCTGTCAGTGGGCATCTGCATTGTACCTAATTTTAAAAAAATGTTACTAAAAGGGTAGTCATGACTATGTTTTGCTATCTCTTGGTATACATGTGCCAGCATTTCTTCTGTTGGATTGACTGCAGGGTAGAAGAGTGAACAATTTACTCTTACAGCATACCTGTATACATAAGTTGTTGATCTATATCTCAAACACACAATAATGTTAAACTTTGTGCTTTTCATCAACTGAATGATCTTAAATGGTCTTGATTTTCATTTTCTTAATTTTTAACAAATTCAAGAATCTTGTTCATAGGCTATAAGTAGACCTTTAATTAGATGCAGTTTCTGGCTTTCATTAATTTTACTCTTTTTTATAAATTTGTAGGACTCCTTCACATATTCTTGGATTAATTCTTTGATGGTCGTGTGCATTGTTAAAATAAAATTGAATCTGGAATCCATTAAGTAACTTAGCTTCCTACTTAAGCAAACCAAAGCCTGGTATGAACAGTACAACCAAATTTAAGTTTAAACTACCACTTAATCTTAACTAATCTGAAACACCTACCTAACTTCTAACTAGGGATTTTCCACTCCAATCTTATCTATATGTTCTTTATTATGTAGCTTCTATGAACGCCTTATAAAAGTTTCCCATTTATTCCCCCTCTATAGAATGCTGAACTGCCTGTAGTCTAGTGCTGCCTAATTCCAAAATACTTGAATGTTGAAATAAACATGCTAAAATTTTACTATGCCTTTTACCAGTTGCAGATACAACTACCAACTTACAGATTATCTTTTGTCAATTTACATGAATCTTTTGATGTATCAGAGTTCTCAACTTCAATTCAGTCAAATTTATCCATCTTTTGTTATAGTTAGTGCTTTTCTAATGTTCTTTAAAGTTTCTGTCCCCACCTTATGCTCAGGAAGTTAATTGTCCATATCTCCTACTAATACTTGACATATAAGTCTTTATTCCATTTGTAGATTTTAAAAAATATAGCGTATATTATGGCTTGAGTTGTGTCTCCAAAATTTATATAAAATCTCCAAACCCCAGTTCATCAGACTGTATTCGGGAGATAAAGACTTTAAATATGCAATTAAGGTTAAATCACGTTTTATAGATGGGCCCTTACATGTACCATCCACTTAAGATAATATTTGAATGCTCAAGTGGACACCAAAAATGCACGTGAGCACAGAAAAAAGACCATGTGAGGACACAGAGAGGGCAGGAGCTGCATATCAAAAGAGAAATCTTAGGACAGCCCAAACTGCTAACACCTCAGTGTGGGATTAGAAGTGTCTAGAATTGTAAGAAAATTAATTTCTGCTGTTAAGATATCTAGTTTTGGGCATCTAGTTTTGACAATCATAACAAACTCATATGATGTGAGATGTGGATTTAATTTTTATATGGAAAAATAATTTTATTTTATTTATAACTAGTCTCTCCTTTCCTCACTAATTTATGATAGCTTCTCTATCATTTATCAAAATCTACGTGTATGTGCACCTTTTGTAAATTCTTTAATACATTCCTTTGTTCAGTTTATCACTGGGAAAGGACCAAATTTTAATTTCTGTAGTTTCATTGTATATCTGACAGCAGGTAAAGATAAGCTTTTCCCTATTCTTCTAAGTGACTATTTTAGATCATTTGTGTTTTCATATAAATTTTATAGACAGCTTGTCAATTTTTACTAGTATTTGACTTTTTCTGCATTGTGACCACTAATCCTGGTACATCAAATGCTCCTCTGCTCTGTTCTCCGATCACCATGAACTAACCAACTTTGCTCCACCTTGCCCATTTCCTGTAATGTTTCTACCTTGAAATAGGTCAAGCATGTACTCAATCTCCTGAAGCAGTGAGATAAATTAAAACAGCGCAGAAAATTTTTTAAAAACTTAAATTTTTTCCTGGAAGGAACCATTTATAAAGTTGGGGCTAAAGGAAGTGTGGCTGATAAAGAGACTGGCACCACTAATAGGAACCAATTGTTTTGTATAGAGACAAGAAGAAAGATGCCTTGAGGACATCTCAGGAATCAGCAAGACTCACCATTGTGTAGCCACAAGGATATAAAAGTATTAACCGTTCATTTGAGAAGAGAGTGCCTGAGAAGGGTTTCCTAGGGAATTGGTTCCATGGGATTCACTTCACCATGCTCAGCCATCCATGCACTCAGAGGCCATTAAAGCTATGGTCCATGGGGCATGTGGCTACTCCTCCTCTGAGGTCAAACCTAGGCCTCACCCATGTTATGATGGCTTTACCAACTCCCAGAATACAAAAGCTGTGGGGTCAAGGAGCTTCTGCCCAGCTGTTGAAGGAAGGATTGGGAGGCCAGGCAAGAAGCCCCTGAGAGAGCAGTATGTGAAGATGCTGAAATGAAACTAAAGTTGCAGTGGAGACCCCAGGAATTCAGAGATGTCATGAACCTGGAAGTTCTGTCAGAAAACCTGCAGTTCAGGAGCAGAGCCAGCCCAAGAGAAAGACAATGTGGGCTGCAAGCAGAAAGACCATAGGAGTAAAGCTGTCCAAGACTTCTGTAACACACATCTCACCACTGTAATCCCGATGTCAGATACAGAGCTACAGGATTTAATGTTTGCCCTACTGGGTTTCTGATTCTCTTCTATTCCTCTATTTCTCCATTTTGGAGTGTGAACGTTCACCTTGTGCCACTGTACCTTAGGATTATGTAACTCATTTTTAATTTTTATAGAGGTTCAAAGCCAAAGTCCCAGAAGAGGCTTATATTTGGATTTTGGAAAATAATGTAGCTGTTGAGACTTTAGGTAAGGGATTTTGTGCTTACTGTTGTACTATGGATAGTTATGTTAGGCAGAATTCTGAACTATTTTCTGAATTTGAAGATTAAGTATGGATTAGGCAGATATGTTTGGGTGTGAAGTTGATAAGGAATAAATTATCACCACTAATCTTGATATGTCAACTTTATTGTATTAAAAATAAACTGGGAGATTGGTTAATCATGCTCCTTGTCTATCTGGATGGGTCATAAAGGCATGATATGGGATTGTACAGTCCCTTGCCCATTACTGTTTGCAGTCTTCTTTCCGGCCATGGCCATCATAAACTAAGCAGCTTTGTTCTACCCCACCCTTCTACCATGATGTCTCTGCCTTGAAGCCAGCCAACCATGGACCACAATTGCGAACAAATTAGACCTCTCCTCTTTTACATTGTGAGTGTTGAGGATGGTGTTTCAGTGATGACAAAGCTTATTAATACCTTCATTAAATGTATAGCTCTAGAGAGAAATATCTGTAAACTAAAGATTTATTACCAATGGAAAGTACATTTTTTTTTGTTGTTGTTATTCAGACTACAATTTTTACTTCATCCACACGATGGCACCACAATCCAAATAACTTGTATTTTCCTAGTTAAAAAGGAGATACCATAAGGCAGGGTTATTATTCTAGTAAACGCCTGCATGTTTTGGAAGATAGTTCTGAATTTCACATGAAATATTTATTAGTCTATATAACACTGAAATGTATCTGGTAAAAAATATATACAGTGGCACAAATAATAAAACATTTCTAAATTTTTTTTCTATTCTTCACAGTTCACACATCTATATCTGTACTTATCACAGTGTAGAACTAACTCTGGAAAATTAAGGTAGTCTTTCCCAAACCAGCAAGTCCTTTACAAGATAGTAAACAGTTTTGCATAAAGCTGGGGAACAAAGGTTATCCCTAGGTTTATGAATAAAGGAGATTATGTAATTCTTCACTTTCACCTCCAGCCCCACCCCTTATTCAAACTCTGATAATCTTGGAGTTAAAGCAGATTGCCACTTCGGAGAATCATGCCTGGACTTGTCCTGAATTGTTTAAAGCACCAAAAAGAAAAGTGACTTTCCCTTTGTACTCTGCAATGAAAATGACGCCTTTAAACATACTAGGTAGGAGTTTGAGGCAGAATGCCTGCAAACGTTAGATTGACACCTTACAAACTTAAATTTGATAGTCAACTAAAACAAACTCATTTTCTAAGTATCTTTCAGGCATTTAACCACTTAGTGTTCTGAATGTTTGTGAAATCCAGTGGCAAAAATATTTACCATATCCTATTGACTAGATAAAGACTTCTGTGTGCTTCAAATTTATGTAATTGGATGATATACTAAAATTACACATACCTAAATTTTTTAAACACCAGTTTCCTTATGTGTAAAGTGGAAATAATGTAGGAAACAAGAATATGTCACTGTAATATATTACCACAGGGGACAAGATCATGCCTCTGGAATACGCATCTGGATCTGAATTATTTTTGATTATTTTGAAAAATGGCAACCCAGAAGAAGTCCTGAAAATAGGACATTATCCTTTTTAAGGGAAAACTTACATTAACAGAAATCCCACTCCAAAAGAACGTCTCCTTTGTACCTGGAAGAAAATAATTCTAAATCAGAAGACACTCTTTATCACTGGAGAAATAAACCCGACTCTTATGTACCGTAGCACCATTCCTAACAGTCGTTGCTTAATAGGCCTTCCTCACACTCTCGTTTAGTTGAAGATGGCATTTAAAGTGCAATTTTCATCTATCTCTGAAATATTTACTTTCCTGGGTATATATCTCCCATACACGTAAGATACATATATCAATAAATTTTTTTCTTAATCTATTCCGTTTCCAAGATTCCAGCCAGAATTTAGAATTTTATTTTCCTCCCCTACAATACCAATACTTTTCCCTTAAATTCTTGTAGAATTACATAAGGCATTTCAAAATAATGAACATGTTTACACTATGGCCATCAAAGCATGGAAAAAAGTGATCTAAGGTTAGTGAAATTTAACCAGAAAACCTGGAAATTGGAAAGTAAGCATTCTTTTAGCTCCTTTGCTTATGCTATCAACCCAGGAAGCCTTGAGCCTCCCAGCACCAGGTCAGCAATATGGCTTAATGAGTCATTTGAACCACACATTCTGAATAACCTACTGAGAATAAGAAAGAAGTCACAGATGACTCCGATTGCAAAATCATAATAGCACCGATCACACTTTTAGCACCACCGTCAAAGGCCGCCCACTCAGATTGCGAACTGCACCTCGGAGAAATTCCACAGGATGGCGCCCTTGCGTTCCGACTTTAGCGCAAGCCGAGGGCTGAAGGCTTCCCAGTGCACCAGCCGGCCTGTCCCAGGTTCAGGGTCTGACCTCCCTCCCTCAGAGGGCCACTGGAAGGTGATGGGCCGGGGCCAGCTGGGCCTCACATGGTCCCTGGAGGGGATCCGGGCCTGAGAGTCGGTGTCGCCTCATTTTGGAGGGGTGCTGGGCTCGGAACGCCCCACACTCTAACCCCTGGCCTTTCACCTGCCGCGGTCTGCGCCGCGCTCACACTGGACGGGAGCGAGCTCGGGAAGGACGCGCAGCAGCAGCTCGAGCCCTTCCTGGCAGCCCGCCGCGGCCTCGCGTGCCGGTTCAGTGACGCCAGGCGCTCCCACAGCGACACGGGTGTCAAGTCGCGGGCACAGGGGAGAACTTTGCGGGGGCGCGAAGCGCGCTGACACCCGCGGCCCACGCGGCCGGGCTGGGGGAGGGGCGCCGGCCCTCGGGGTTCTGTTTCCAAAGCCGAAGCTCGGAGCGTTCCGAGGATGGGGTGGCGGTCTGCGGCCGGCCGGACGCCCCTGCCGGCGTCCCAAGTCGCTGTGAGCGCTCCCCGAGCCGGCGTCCAGCACCTGAGGACAGCCCCGGGACCGAGGAGGCTGAACCCGACCTCTTGGCTTCGCTGCCCCGGCGGTTGGTGGGCGTGGCGTTTCCCGTGACGTCGCGTCCCGTCCCGAGTCTCCGCCCCCTCCCAGCTCCAGTATAAAAGGCTTCGCAGCTGGTTCGCACTCTCACAAGTGGACTGAGGCGTCGGGCGCGAGCAGGTTAGGGAGCTTGGGGCTCGAGGGCTGGGGCCAGCTAGGACGTGTGTCCGCGCCTCGGAGGTGGCCGCGGGTGACAGCAGGGTTTCCGTGTGCTGCGGCGGTGAGGGGACCATGGAACTCTTGCGGACTATCACCTACCAACCGGCGGCGGGCACCAAGATGTGCGAGCAGGCGCTGGGCAAGGCTTGCGGCGGGGACTCGAAGAAGAAGCGACCCCAGCAGCCCCCCGAGGAGCCGCAGCTGCAGACGCAGGTGCCCCCGGCGGCCCCGCACCACCATCACCACCACTCGCACTCGGGACCCGAGATCTCACGGATTATTGTCGATCCCACGACCGGGAAACGCTACTGCCGGGGCAAAGTGCTGGGAAAGGTGAGGAGCGGCGGGCGCGGGCTGCCTGGAGGGAGGGAGGTCTGCGTGGGCGAGCCAGAGTTGGGATTGACCCCTGCGTCCTGCGGCCGCCACCTCACGGCCTTTGGGGCGTGTGGGCCCCTCACCTGCCCTCCACAGGCTTTTGTGCGCTGACAGTGTTGGGGATCCGCTTTCATCCTCAGGCGAGGCTGTTTTCCTCCTGAAGCCCTATGATAACTCCTTTCGAGTCTTAAGAGAGGGCGTTTTGTAGCTGGCCTCTCTCCCTCCACCTGCTTCCCAGAACATTTCCCTGACAAGTCTCTTCAGACGTTATTTTTCATCTTTCCCCATCCCAGCCCCCTCCATAGGGCAGTTCCTTTGTAAAGAGAGAACAGAAACTGGATTTGCTGGGTTCAGGAATGAGTTTCCCTCCCTGAAGGACCTTTTACAAAGTAGACTGCATCCCTGTCCACTCCCCACTTCTCCAATTTTCCGTCTATTTAGTTATTTATTCATTCATTTATTTTAAACATTGGCCCTCCATTTTTTTCTGCCATTCTCAATTCCATCTCGGCTTTGTTTCCTTTCAGGGTGGTTTTGCAAAATGTTATGAAATGACAGATTTGACAAACAACAAAGTCTACGCTGCAAAAATTATTCCCCACAGCAGAGTAGCAAAACCTCATCAAAGGGAAAAGGTGTGTATGACTACCAAGTAAAGTATTTTCTTTGTGTGCAGGGATGGCCCTACCCTGTTAGAAAAATGTCTTCTGCATGTGTAAGCAGAGATGATGGGAGGTTAATAAGCCTTATCATGTTTTTTCTTTTAGATTGACAAAGAAATAGAGCTTCACAGAATTCTTCATCATAAGCATGTAGTGCAGTTTTACCACTACTTTGAGGACAAAGAAAACATTTACATTCTATTGGAATACTGCAGTAGAAGGGTAAGTGTTAAAGTCCTGTTTCACTACTTAAAAGCTGACATACTGAAATTACATTTTATCTGACATTTAACTGCTGTGGAAGTTAATTATGTCACAGTGTCAATTTTTGTAACTCATCCTACAAAGGGAAATCACTGATTTTGGTAACTTTATTTTTTACACTTGTTTTTTTCTTCTTTTCCCAGTCAATGGCTCATATTTTAAAAGCAAGAAAGGTGTTGACAGAGCCAGAAGTCCGATACTACCTTAGGCAGATTGTGTCTGGACTGAAATACCTTCATGAACAAGAAATCTTGCACAGAGATCTCAAACTAGGTAAGCCCTCGACTCCAAATGCTAATTTTTGGGTTAGAGTGATTTTCTTTCTCTTTCCCACTTTTCTTACTAGTGCTTTTAATTGGGGCCTAGGCTATGCAATCTGGCTTTTACATAGATATACTTTAATGGAACATTTGGCTCCTTGCCTTCAAAGTGGATATGTGTGTGTACTTGGTTAGAACACCTTGTCAAGAGAATTCACATTTGTTTTGTTTATCATTTAGGGAACTTTTTTATCAATGAAGCTATGGAACTGAAAGTTGGAGACTTTGGTTTGGCAGCCAGGCTGGAACCTTTAGAACACAGAAGGAGGTAAGAGTCAGAAAGACGTCCTGCTGGGTTTTGAAAAGACCACATATGCTTTATTATTTTCCAGTTAGTATTTTGGAGAAGCTTGATTGATACTGAATCTGTAAACCACGACACTATTAATTGAAACAAACAGCTAGTAAATGCCCAGCCTGGGTTAGTCAGGATACCGTATGTTTCTGCAGTGATTATTAAAATAAGGCAGTCTTATATATTTGCCTGAAATGTATGAAAATGTTCTGTCCTTGGTCATCATTATCTGAAAAAGTTGCACATAAATGGAAAAATATCAGCAAAAATCAATTACTCAAATAGCAAAAATAAAATATTTATAAATAGAAATTGAATCTAGTACTTTATTTCCTAAAGTTTAAAAAATGGAATAGTTGTTAATGAGATTTTGGTATTTTGTCTTTTCAGAACAATATGTGGCACCCCAAATTATCTCTCTCCGGAAGTCCTCAACAAACAAGGACATGGCTGTGAATCAGACATTTGGGCTTTAGGCTGTGTAATGTAAGTAAATGTACTGGAATGATTGAAAGGCAAATATAGTTGAGATTTTAACATTCAGAAAAAGAGTTGCTTTATTTTATGACCATTCCTAAAAAAGTGTTTCTTTGCACACAGGTATACAATGCTGCTAGGAAGGCCTCCATTTGAAACTACAAATCTGAAAGAAACTTATAGGTGCATAAGAGAAGCGAGATATACAATGCCATCTTCATTGCTGGCTCCTGCTAAGCACTTAATAGCTAGCATGTTGTCCAAAAACCCAGAGGATCGTCCCAGTTTGGATGACATCATTCGACATGACTTTTTTTTGCAGGTTGGAACATTATCTTGTGTCTTTATTATGTTTTTGACTGTAAATTACCTGGCAGGTTACTGAAGGGTTTTTCTGATACTCCACAGGGCTTCACCCCAGACAGACTTTCTTCTAGCTGTTGTCATACTGTTCCAGATTTTCACTTATCAAGCCCAGCTAAGAATTTTTTTAAGAAAGCTGCTGCTGCTCTTTTTGGTGGCAAGAAAGACAAAGCAAGATATATTGATACACACAGTGAGTCATACTATTTGTCTCCCAATGTTACATTTAGATCTGATAAATTAGTTTTGAAAGACTTTTATATTGGCATAATTCAGAGTGTGTTTATATACTATTGACCTTTGACGTTAATAGCCTAATAAATCCACCCCTCCAAAGGGGAGTGATGGCCTTTTGTTTTTTAAAAAAATTAGAGTGTGGTTTTTACATAAATTGCAGTTGGTAATAATAATAAAATGCTGGTTTTACCTTGGATGCTCATAGCTAGTTAAAACGGCTGGCTCTATTCCTACCTTGTTTAGATATAGACTAACACTCTTAATTTTTCTCCTTGATTTACAGATAGAGTGTCTAAAGAAGATGAAGAAATTTACAAACTTAGGCATGATTTGAAAAAGACTTCAATAACTCAGCAACCAAGCAAGCATAGGACAGATGAGGTATATTGCAAAACAATAACATGGATTTAAATACTTTAGGTCTTTCCCAGTCTCTGTTAATTAGCACATGGACTCCTGATTTAGGCTATTTAAGCATGCTGTATTACTAAAAGCTTTTTTTCGAATTATTTCAAAGGAAAGATGCTATCTTTTAGTTTAACAGTGCATGCACTTGGGTTGTTCTGGTATCTTTTAGATGGCTGGTGTCCATTGCTTTTTGATTAATTTTCCCAGCAATTTCCATAAGCTCATATTAATCTGGAATTTTTGCCTTAAATGGATTTACGTGTTTATTAATCATTGCATAATTTGCCTCTCTTTTTAAGGACCTTCAGCCACCTACCACTACAGTTGCCAGATCTGGAACACCCGCAGCAGAAAACAAGCAGCAGATTGGTGATGCTATTCGGATGATAGTTAGAGGGACACTTGGCAGCTGCAGTAGTAGCAGTGAATGTAAGTGGTTGTTAAGCATATTTTAAATAATGAAACTACAGTGCCATTGGTAAATAATAAGTAAAAATAAATTTGCTTTGTAGCTTAACACCGGAGAAACAATAGCAAAGATATTGGAAAAATATAAAATTCCAGGTCTTTAGAATCAGTAAAGAGAAACTTAGCATTTATCAAAGCTAAGGCTTTATCCAGGTTACAAGTTAAAGATTTTGTAACTTATGTCTCTCTGTCTGACTCTTTAGGCCTTGAAGATAGTACTATGGGAAGTGTTGCAGACACAGTGGCAAGAGTCCTTCGAGGATGTCTAGAAAATATGCCAGAAGCTGACTGCATTCCCAAAGAGCAGCTGAGCACGTCATTTCAGTGGGTCACCAAGTGGGTCGATTACTCTAACAAATACGGCTTTGGCTATCAGCTCTCAGATCACACCGTTGGAGTCCTTTTCAACAATGGTGCTCACATGAGCCTCCTTCCGGACAAAAAGTAGGTCCTTCTGATTAGTGAAGTCTGTTTTCTAGTCAGCACTAAAGAAATCTCAAAAAAAGCAGCTAACAGCATTTTTCTTTTTCTTTCCCTGTCACTTTGATTTTTAGAACAGTTCACTATTACGCAGAACTTGGCCAGTGCTCTGTGTTTCCAGCAACAGATGCCCCTGAACAATTCATTAGTCAAGTGACGGTGCTGAAATACTTTTCTCATTACATGGAGGAGAACCTCATGGATGTAAGTACTGTAGCTTCAGAACAGGGCTAGGTGAAGTAGCAGGCACAGCAGTACCATTTACATCAAGTTGATGCATATAGAAGTAGATTCTCTTGTCCCACTCTAGAGTATTAAACAAAATCCCTGGGAAGTGGAAGCAGAAACCTTCAGGCCATTCTTATGCTAAGCATTTGCTTAGAAGAGCATGGTGCACACTGCACAGTCTTTATAGGCAATAACTCCCTCTCTTAATCTCTTTCAGGGTGGTGATCTCCCTAGTGTTACTGATATTCGAAGACCGCGGCTCTACCTCCTTCAGTGGCTAAAATCTGATAAGGCCTTAATGATGCTCTTCAATGATGGCACCTTTCAGGTAACTGAACTCTTATAGGAGTACATATTTAGGCCCTAGAAAGGATTTTTTTTTGTACCAGGGATCGAACTCAGGTCCTTGCGCTTATGAGGCAAGCCCCTGAACTGCTGAGCTAAATCCCTAGCCCTAGAAAGGATTTTTAACAAGTCAGTGTAATGTTTGATTGATT